ACAGATCATCAGAGATGCTGGGCTGTACAAGGAGAAATGTGGCATCAGGATTGGTGGAAGAGTCATCAACAACCCGTGTTATGCAGATGACACAACTGAGGAAGACCTAAAGCACCTGCTGCAGAAGATCAAGGACTGCAGCCTTCAATATGGATTGAAGCTCAACATCAAGAAAATAAAGATTCTCCTCACTGGACCAATTGGCAGCATCAGTATGGATGGTGAAGAGATTGATATAGTTTTAACAATTTTAGTTTACTTGGCTCCACAGTCAACACTCTTGGTAACAGCAGCCAGGAAATCAAGAGATGAAATGCATTGGGAATGTCAGTTGTTAGGGACCTCTCAAGAGTACTGAAGAGCAACGACGTCAGGCTGGAGACTATGATGTGCCTGATCCGGGCCATAGTCTTTGCAATTATGTGCTATGCATTGGAAAGTTGGACAGTGAATAGGGATGAAAGCAAGAGAATTGATGCCTTTGAGCTGTGGTGCTGGAGAAGATTGTTGAATATACCATGGACTGCTAGGAGAACTAACAGGTTTGTCCTGGAGAGGGTGAAGCGAGAATGCTCTTTGGAGTCAAAGATTCTGAAGCTTCATCTGACATACTTTGGGCATGTTACAAGGAGTGACAGGTCCTTGGAGAGGGGGCATCATGTTTGGGAGAGTGGAGGGATGGCACAGGAGAGGAAGACCCTCGATGAGATGGATTGATTCTGTGATTGGGATGGTGGGAGTGAGTGTGTCGGAGATGGTGAGGTTGGCACAGGATAGAGCAGGGTTTAGGGTTCTTGTACATAGGGTCGCTATGAGTTGCAAGCGACTCGACAGAACAAAACAACAAACACAAGACAGTTATTGTTGTGTACCCTCCAGTGAGATTTCAGAGGCAGTAAATCATATGGGAGGAGATTGCTCATCTTTGTCCTGTGGAGCAGCTAGTGGATTTAAGCCTTGTACCTTTTCATTGGCAGTCTAACTCCTTACCCAATAAGCCACCAGAGCTAATTTAGATATTTCATGTAAGTGGAATTAGAAAATATTTATCCTTTGGCATTTGCCTTATTTTATTTAGCATAAGATTTATAAGGTTCACCTGATCGTTTATAGAATGCATTAGAGCTCCACTATTCTCAATGGCTACGGAATATTCCATTGCCATGATGTACTACATCTTGATTGTGCTTTCATCACCTGCTAGATGCTGTTTCCACCATTTCTTTATTGTGAATAATACTGCAATTAATATTGTTGTATAAGCATTTGTTGGCTTGCATCAAGTCTTTTGTAAGCTATACTGAAAGTGGAATTTCTATGGAAAATCTAAATCCTTGAGAAATTGTAAAACTAATTTCCACAGTGTTTGCACCATTCTACATTCCCACCAGCAATGGATGAGTTTTTCAATTTTTATTTTTTTGCCAATACTTTTTTCTTATGACCAATGATATTCACTATTTTTTTACGCTTATTGTCTATTTGCATATGTTCTTTGAAGAATTGTGTATTCAAGTCCTTTGCTCATTTTAAAACTGCATTGTCTTTATGGTTCTTAGTAGTAAGGCCTCGACCTATTCTAGACATTAAAGACTTACGAAACTCATGACTTGTCAGTATTTTCTCTCCTTGTGTAGACTGTCCTAACTTTTTCTTGACAGTCTTTTGAGGTACAAAAGTTTTATTTTTTTACTTGTACTTTTGATTATTATATCTAATGAACTATTATCAAAAGCAAGGTCCTAAAGTTTTACCCTGTAAGTTTTCTTCTAAGAGGCTAGGGTTTTAGTTTTTATATTTAGGTCATTCATCTACTTGAGTTAATTTTCATGTGTGGAATGAGGTTTGATTCCAACCTATTTTTTTTTTTTGCAGAGGTCCAGATGATCTGACATTATTTGTTTAAGATCTTATTCTATGTGTGGATCATAAGAAATTATGGATAACATAGCAAAGAACAGAAATTCCAGAACACTTAATTATGCTCATGTGAAAACTACATATAGACAACTGTAGTTGTTCAAACAAAACAAGGAGATACTACATAGTTTAAACTCGGGAAAAGTGGACATCAGAGTTAAATCTTTTCAATGTATCTGTGTATTCGATATGCTAATCAAATAATCTGACAAAAAAGATTACATGAAGATAAACACAGCATCAAGATTGGAGGAACACGAACACACACACACACACACACACACACAGAGACACACATGAGATACATAGTGACAAAACCTTGCTTTCA